CTGTATTAAAGTTACGTAAGTCCCGCCGCATGCATTTGGAGATCTGTCTGTTCAGTTGCTTGTACGCTGTCAAATGTGCTGAAGACTGCAGTTATATATCCCGTCTAACAGCCATGAGATTGAGAGTGTAATCGGAGAGTTTTTGTGTTCTTCTGCGGCGGGCCTTGCAGAACTTAGCTCCGATCGCATGGACAGTTTTCACGAGTTTGTCATTCATATCGTCCACTGCATTGCAATCTTCTAGGCACTTAAAATGGTTTTGTAGCTCGAGCTGAAAGATTTCGGGACTCTGGATTAGAGCACGAGGGGTACGGAGCGTTGACTTCATTAGACGAAGTCCGTTGGGTTGAAGTACGTCAACCGTTGGGGCTCGACCAGATCCACTTCCTGTGGGGCCGCTTCTGGAAGAAAAAGTTCATCATAAAGAGTCCCTCTTTCTCCATGAAGTCGGCCAGCTGCTGGCCCTTTGGGTTCCTTTGGCCTATTCCAAATTGCCCTACCTTCAGCTTATCGTTCTCTCTTGTGCCTAGCTTTGCGTTGAAGTCTCATTGAACCCGTATAATAAGTTTTGGAGGAATGCATGGTTCTAGATACATATATCCTCATACATTTCCTCCACCTCCTCATCGGGATGTGCCGAGGTTGGTGCGTAAGTCTGTATGACCTTCAGCGAATACCGTTTGGTGATTCTTAGTATAAGGTACGCAACCCTCGCTGGTGCTTCTCATGTGGCCCCATAGAATAGAATGGAACAGAACGGAATAATATGGAATAGAATGGAATAGAATGGAATAGAATAGAATATAATAATTTTTATTCAATATTGATTAAAAAAAACGTTCACGAGTGTCGTCCGTATCTAATGAAATCACCTATAATAATATGATACAATGTTGAGTATATTTAGAATAGAATAGATGTTTAGGCCAAACAATTAACATTTGAAATTTGCATTCAACACTCGTGTCTGCCCGCTGACTTTGTAAATGTCACCGTCGCCCCACTCCCGTGTGGGTCACTCGGCAGAGGGCGTGAGTGCAGGACGCGAGTGCGAAGTCAATAGCTTGACAGCGGCGGTGCGGTTCATTAGCGTATTTTGGTGACCGCTGCATCGATTTCGCGCGACCAGTTTTTTAGGTTTTGTGGTCTAGAATTTGATTATTTGTGCACGTTTAATTTGCTATTGAATTTTGTTTTCGTGTAGACCGCCTCGAATTAGTTTGTCCAAGTTGTACGTTTCGGACAAGAGGCTTGTATTGAATTTGACTGATTAAAGTAATTTCGTTGCAAGTAATTACGTCAATTGTATAGTGATTGCATGTTGAAGTGCATTTTGCAATATTTAACTTGCTTGTGTGACGTGGAACCTTGCGCGCACGCTGAGTAGACATACGGTCTTGAATTTGATGCTCGCATTCCATTTCGAGGGCGTGGCCCGGTTAATTGTTTTTGGAAGTCAATGTTTAATTGTACCGTCGCGTTAAGTGCCTTTTGTGTGTTGACTGTGTAGTTAGTTTGCGTGTCAGCTAGGCTGATTTTGAGTTTTAATGCGGGCGTAGTATTTAATATCGTACGAAGGAATTTAGTTTGTTGTCTGTAACGCTGAACTTTGTGACTCGAGAACTTTTAGAGAAGAGATCGCGTTCTTCCCTATTTGTAATTTGTTGCTACATGAACCGAACCTTGAATATTGAACTTTGAACGATTGTTCGTTATTTGTGTCGGGTGTCACGTGTTTGATTTCGATGAACGTTGAATTTAGTTGAGTTTGAAGTTAATTAAAGGTACAATAAAGTTGATAGACTGAAACAGTGAAATGAAGAAAGAAGTTGTCAATTGGTGACGTCCGCTGGAGTGATACAACATTGTGGGGCAACATCGGACCAGGCCGCTGCCCGATCACCTCAGTTGGTTCAGGTCACATATATAAACACTACTGCACACCACTTACATGCACCTACACCTACCTAACGCCTGACCGAGCCTTGGGGCAGTCTTAGCTTCGGAACCAGGTACGTACTATTTATTTACCTAGCCTTATATCTATTGTGTAGAATGATAAGTCTCCATAGGCCGTTGGGCCCCACCATTAGTTGTCCGTCGAATCTACCGCTGATGGGCCCCGGGATATTTGATCTTTGTTGGGGCAGCTAGGGGCGTGTACAATCATGAAGCTAATACAAAGGAGAGACGGCATAAGCAACTGTGCACTGTGATTCTAAGTAGGTCCTGACGTCATCATAGTGGGCGTGGCTTTAGTTAGTATACTGTCAGCATTCGTCCTGTGCGCTCATGTGTTGAAAAAATCGCAAATCGATGTATTTTAGTAGTATTAAGAAGAAAAGGATGAAGTGTTGTGTTTTATTGTGTAAAAACTACTCAGATAGACGCTCTGATGTTATGGATGGCATCACATTTCATTTGTAAATAATTTTACACCTAATTTATTAAAATAGTTCTAGAAAAATCGCTTTGCGTTGGCTTTCAAATATAATTAAATATATTCGACACTAGATATAGCGACACTATGTGTCATGTGAACTAAAAATATAAAGGTCCGTAGAGCTCAGTATTGGTAAAATAAACATACGACGGTGCTGAAATTTGTTTTGCATTCAGATATAAAGTAATTTTAATCGCAAAATGTTATTTTTATAGTTTATAATCATTATGTGAACACGCCGTATTCTATTGTCAAGTAAACCTCATAAAGATAACAAAAAGACAGTGCCGTAATTAGAATTCAATTATTCTATTCAGTAATCCAACTTTCAATATTAAAATGAAGGAAATTGTACTTAGGCTGATTTTCACGAAATGTTTAAGTTATATTAAGTGACATTCTATATGCAAAGAATCACTTAAACACAATTTAATGTTCTTAGATTGGCATTCCAAAAGTGCATTCGGATGCCTAATTTGGAATAAAATATTTATATTTTAATTGATTTGTTAATAAAATTATATTAATTATAATAATTTGTCTATTATTTGTTCTCCCTCAGAGATATTAAATTAGCTCAGTAACGATAAAATAATCATACGAAGGTGCTAAAATTTGTTTTGCATTCAGACATAAAGAAATTTTGATCGCCAAAATATTATTTTTTAGTTTATAACATTTTTGTGGATATGCCGCCATCTACTGTCAAGGTAGCTAAGCTACATTGCAACATTGATATGGAAAGATTCGAGTAGTTTTACAATTTATCGGTAGATGTAGATAGTGTAGTGGGCGGGGCTTTGCATCCCCTCACCCCGCAAATTGTCACGCGTTGTATCATAGTGAAATTGAATTACAACGTCTCCTCTTTGTATTTGCTTCATGTGTACAATAGAATAGAATAGAACAATTTTTACTCAATATTGATTACAAGTAATTCTTAGTGAAAGTTATTTTTTTACTTCACTACTGGTTCGGAAATAAACATCTGTCTTTCTTTTTAAAATAAATTTTACAATATAAGCAAACGGTTACAAACTATTCACTCTCATAATTTTTCCCAAACGCCCCAAAAGAAGTGTAACTTCATAAATATTCACACACGGAACATTTACAAAATTTATTTTAGAACCAGTTTGGAAGCGACCACCTCATTCCCAGGGATTATTATCAACCATGTATTCATTTATATTATAATTACCCTTTTTGTGCAGTTTTTGTTTAATTAAATATTTAAGCTTGGTAATAGAGAGAACTTGTATATTTTCTAGGACTTTGTTGTAATAGCGTATACATTGCCGTAATAATGAATTACTGACTCTGTGGAGTCGAGTGACTAGTGTCACTAGCTTGTGTAGCTTCCATAGCATAGGAAATAACTGAAATAAACGAATATAGCTGTCTCGACACTAGTGAGATCTCTTATCTTTTGTACAGCAAAAGTTCAATTGGACCGTCTACCCAATGGGTTCCTTAGGATTGCCTTTAAGCTCCTTTAGTGGTTCCTTATTGGTCTAACCTAAAAAAAGGTTTTTCTTCTTTTTCAAATAGGGTAATTCAAAATCTTATTACATAAAACAAAGAAATAATTACGATTCATTCTTCATTATCGGACTTTGTTTGAAAGGTGTGTGGTCAATTCCTTTGAAAAGAACGAATCTTACTTTATAAAAGCACTATATGTTACGGTTTCTATGAAAAGAATGTGGCCAAATTCTTTTGGTATGACGTTACATTTCCATTGAAAAGAACTAACCCATTTTATTTAATAGATTTATTTCCTACCCTCTAGTTGATCCAAGTCCAGTGGCGAATCACTCGAAGGTTTGCTTGATATTCTATTTTTGCGCATTTAACAACGTACTTTAATTTCTTGATTTAAGTAACACTTCCTTTTCGGCATAATATCAGCAAAACATATTAAACAAAATTGAACACAATTTAAAATAGAAAGAGGTGTTGAGTGGTGAAGGACGAAACCGTGAAATGACATATCGACGGCAGAATCTATGGATTGTATGCGAGTGGGGTTCCCCCCACTCCCGTGACCGGAGGAAGAAGGGGAAAGGAGGGGGTTTTAAATTTTTAGATTCTCAACTATATTTCGAGTGATAGCTCCTAGACGTGATAATGCATGTGTTTAATAAGTTTCAGTTAGTAATCTAGAGGACGAAGCACGAAGAATAATTTGCCATACATCGGAAGCCATAAGATTTTTTGATATTTCAATTAAGATAGCATTGAAGTAATATATACTGCGGACTAGACCAGACACCGCAGACGAAATCTGTGCGACAGTGTGAGACGCGTGGTCGGAGGCACCAAGTGCCTTTTTATGGTACAGACTTAGTAAGTTTGAGCCTACGTGTTCTAACGCGTGTTGCAAACAACTAAGTCGCGGCATCTTTTCTAGTACTTGTTACATATTACTTCAATATAAGGTAGCCACCACAGGGCAATGATCTCGGATGTTCTGGGGCTGCAGTAAAAATTACCGCCGTGGCAGTGGGTTCATTTGTTATTGTATCTGTGTATTATATTAGCGTTTTTGCGGCAGGGTGCCGGCGATGCGCGTGGAGGGGACGGGGGAAGGGGAAGACGCGCTGCAGCTGCAGCCTGACCCGCTGTACCGTCGCCTGCGCGCCACCATAGATATGGATCTCGCGCTGCGCCTATATAACGTCTACAGGTACCAATCTTCACCCATTCGCCGCTACCATTATACTTCACAACAATTATCACTTCTATGAAAAGTTCGTGTTTTTGTTCAGGCCGGAGTGTGGCGACGAAGAGGCGCGCGTGCGCGCGTGCGGCGAGGCGCTGGCGCAGCGCCTGGCGCAACTCAACGCGGCACAGGCCGACGAGCTGCGCGCGCACCTGCGTGCCGCCGCAGCCAACTGCCTGGCCGCCATGAGGTGAGTGGTGTTGTTGTGTATGGAGGAGGCGTGGGTGTGAGCGAGCTGGCGCGCCTCAACGCGGCACAGGCCGACGAGCTGCGCGCGCACCTGCGTGCCGCCGCAGCCAACTGCCTGGCCGCCATGAGGTGAGTGGTGTTGTTGTGTATGGAGGAGGCGTGGGTGTGAGCGAGCTGGCGCGCCTCAACGCGGCACAGGCCGACGAGCTGCGCGCGCACCTGCGTGCCGCCGCAGCCAACTGCCTGGCCGCCATGAGGTGAGTGGTGTTGTTGTGTATGGAGGAGGCGTGGGTGTGAGCGAGCTGGCGCGCCTCAACGCGGCACAGGCCGACGAGCTGCGCGCGCACCTGCGTGCCGCCGCAGCCAACTGCCTGGCCGCCATGAGGTGAGTGGTGTTGTTGTGTATGGAGGAGGCGTGGGTGTGAGCGAGCTGGCGCGCCTCAACGCGGCACAGGCCGACAAGCTGCGCGCGCACCTGCGTGCAGCCGCAGCCAACTGCCTGGCCGCTATGAGGTGAACGGTGTTGTTGTGTATGGAGGAGGCGTGGGTGTGAGCGAGCTGGCGCGCCTCAACGCGGCACAGGCCGACAAGCTGCGCGCGCACCTGCGTGCAGCCGCAGCCAACTGCCTGGCCGCTATGAGGTGAGTGGTGTTGTTGTGTATGGAGGAGGCGTGGGTGTGAGCGAGCTGGCGCGCCTCAACGCGGCACAGGCCGACAAGCTGCGCGCGCACCTGCGTGCAGCCGCAGCCAACTGCCTGGCCGCTATGAGGTGAGTGGTGTTGTTGTGTATGGAGGAGGCGTGGGTGTGAGCGAGCTGGCGCGCCTCAACGCGGCACAGGCCGACAAGCTGCGCGCGCACCTGCGTGCAGCCGCAGCCAACTGCCTGGCCGCTATGAGGTGAGTGGTGTTGTTGTGTATGGAGGAGGCGTGGGTGTGAGCGAGCTGGCGCGCCTCAACGCAGCACAGGCCGACTAGCTGCGCGCGCACCTGCATGCAGCCGCAGCCAATAGAGATTCCTATGCAGATAAGTTCTGTATACGAAAAATTAATGTATTCAGTAACAATACCACTGACTACTGACCACCTAAGCCTTGCAGAGGATATTGTTACAACAGCCATTGCATGTAATTGCATAAGTAGTTTTGCAAAAGGAGAGTACTTATTCTCCTTTTGCAAAAATTAATCCATTTTTCACCCTAATCGGCATTTATATAACCATTTTAATCCTTTCTATGTCAACCAGATACTATCGCCTGCAACCGGACGGACCCAAAATTGAGGAAGTTAGCGAGAAACACCCACTGGTGCCTAGGTGAGTGTACATTTCATTATAACTTTACCCATTTATCATCAGTCTTACATCTCCTTCTCAATCTTTGAAGCAAAAACTTCTTTCGCATTATTGTGATTTGAAAAAGCAAACAAAAAAAGCTACATATGGAGTATAAGGTTATGCAAATAAGGTACCTGATGGTAAGTCCATCGCCGGAATAAACAAATAAATCACGGTTAGACAGTTATATATTTCACGGCACAACACATAGAAACAGTCTCATATGAAGAAGCAGAAGGCGATAGATAAGATTACAAATAGATAAGAGATGATAGCAGGAAGCACAGTTTACAGTCACTTGCATAAAATAGGAAAGAACACTCAAATAATATTAGTTATGCGTAAGGACAAAGTTCGGCGTAGGCGCAAGCGGCACAGTATTCGCGTCAGACCATTAGATTGCGACTGGCTGGTCGTTGAACATATCGCGACGTAGGCAAAGTACTCAGGTACACGGTGTTGATAATAATTAAAACGAATGTTTGTTTCCAATGTACTTCGACCGGCCGGCACCGAGAATTATACTATAATACAATACTAAAATAAAATTTACTATAATAAATAGAAATAGTGTAATATATATGTATATTGTAATTGTATTATAGATAAATATAAATATAATATATATTATAATATTAATATTAAATTATATACATACATATCTGTGAAATAATAATCATATCTTTAAATAAAATAAATAAATGTGTGCGTCGCCACATACACTAAAAAGAGACAAATGTATAAATCCGATAAGATAGGCCTACGAGAGATATCATCTATACTTAATATAATAAATCGAAGAGGTTTTTGTTTGTTTAAACACGCTAAGCTCTGGAACTACCAGCCCGATTTAATAAATTCTTATTGTATATTATGATACCTAGATTCATGAGAAATAGTATAGGCTATCAATAATAACATTGGGCTATACCTCTCAGCCAGTCTTAAATATTGTAAAGCAAGTCTGAAGAAAAAGCGCTCCCAAACTGCTTTATCCCCGTACGCTGGCGTAATAATTAGTGATACGTAAATACTATTTTCTACAAAAATACAGATCTTTATTCATCTTAAAACAACTCCGCGATACCATAGGCCTATTTCTTATACATAAGCCACAATAATGTATTTTGTGACAAAAATATTGAAAATTAAAAAGTGATTTATGAGCGTTATTATTATGCATGGCATATTACGTGTACGTGGGTATGTACGTGGTAGAGCCATGCTGCAGCTATATTACTGGTATAGTTGTAGCACGAATGGGTCGGCTCGACTGGGGAAGGACCACGCTCTCACAGAATACCAGCGTTAAATAACAGCTTAACGCTGCTGTGTTTCGTATGGCGAGTGTAGAGAACCGGAGTCCGTTTTTACTGGAAACGAGTTTTTACATCTGCATTTTGATTCGTAATCGAGGATAGATGTAGATGTCTATAGGCCACAGCAACCTTGCCTTCAGGTGGACTGTGTGCTCGTTTGTCACCCATATGCTTGCAAACGAAAGTTACTTCATTATCAAGACAATTTTATGAAGGTAAACTTTGCTCTTTATAGACACATAGTTTAAGAGATAATGAAAAATTAAAATAATTCAACACTTGGCTCGGCGCACAAACGTCGCCTAGCCATCCGATGAGAACCGAGAGAAACTAACAGTGAACGTGAACGAGGTGTCATATCTTGATATATGCTGGTCATACCGCGGGTAACAGCCAGTTCAGTATAAAGTTTCCTATTATTTCCGTCACAAAAAGTTACATAAAATGAAATTAAGATGAGAAAAAGAAATAAATTCTTACGCACCTCGAACAATCTATGGAAATAAAGTATTAGTTACAAACTCAAAAGTAATGTTGAAAAACTTCCACAAAATGTCAAGGATGGCGAAATGAAACTGGCGGATATATATGTGCAAATAAAAAAGAGCAACAATGGGGTAGGCTTTCGAATTTAGAGATTGTCGGTCTACCAGAAAAATCAAAAGAATTTACTTCTGAATTAACTATCAAAATAACCAGCCATGCAGGAACAAAGCTTACGGATGATGAAATTGTTTTTGCGTACCGAGTTCAGCCTATACAGAATGTTGGAGGTCGCCAGAAAAACATTGTAGTCAAACTTCAGAATCGCAATATTAAAAATAATGTTATTTCAGTGCTACGCAAAACTAAAGGAATTACTATTTCCGATATTGGACTGTGTGGTCCAGCCAAAAGGATTTTTTGTTAACTGAGAATAAGCAACACCGAGAATAAGCAACGATTGAAGATAGTAAAATTTCGAGCAATGGCCATATCATATAAGTTTATCTAGGTGAGAAACTGCCACATTTTTTTAAAGAAAAAACGAGGAGTCTCCTGCTATCATTATTAATTCCGAAAAAATAATATGATTAGATTAATTTTGATAGTATTACCGTGCAATGTTTTAATATTAATAGCCACACATAACATAAAATGATATTCACGATTTAAACATCCATTATTACATACATCAAAATCTTGCACTCACATACATCTTTCAAAATCTACAGTAATACTGAATAAATACACCAATATGCCCTACAAAAGAAATGTATAAGCTATCATTTCTTACCTTGTATAAAAATAAAATTCCTGCCTGTTACAAAACCATCCCTCAAGGCTCTCAGTCTGTCTTCTTCTGTTACATAATATAATTATTATCTACATTATTATTAATTACTGTGATAAATATAACTTTTATTAGTTAATTACAACACAATGATACCTAAATCACGCAAAAAGTGCCTTATAATTCAATGTACGTATTCTATCAAAACGTCTGTGGTTTGCGAACTAAAACTAGGCATTTTCGAGACAGTATAATTAGTAATAACTTCAATATAATACTCATTACTGAAACTTGGTTGACAGATGGTATTTACAATGCTGAATTATATGACAACAGGTACGACATATTTAGGTATAATAGAAATAAAAACATCTTCTCATAAAAAGAAGGGGGGGAGGGGCCATGATTTGTACTTATACACAATTAGAAGCTCGAGAACGGACGGAATGGATGTGTAGAGATCTCGAATGTTTGTGGGTATCAGTACCAGGAAAATATTTAAGTTGTTATGATAGACGTAATTTACACCTTGGATTTGTTTATGTATTGCCCGATAACTATCAATCAAAGCGTTTAGATAGTTGTACAGAAATGCTCTCAAAAATCATAACTCAATGTCCAAATGATCACTTTATACTTGCTGGTGACTTCAACTTAGCGCATATATCTTGGTCCTCTTCTGGCCCGGTCATACTTCGCAAAGTCCAGTTGGATTATAAAATGCTACAGTAAAGTTAATTGATCTATGCAACTTATCACGACTAAGTCAAGATAATATTATTAACAACAATAGTGGTAACGTACTAGACTTAGTGTTTAGTAACATAAACATAGACGTTACCCGTTCTCAAACATATCGTGTATCCGAGGATAAATATCATCCTTCTTTATTGCTCGATGCATCTGATCTGTCAATACTCTGTTTAATAAAAAAAACTATGATCAAAATTAAACTATTACCTTGTTAATTGGCAACTCAATTGATTTCGTAGTTCAAATTTTTTATTTCCAACTACATCTAATAATTGACAAATTTGTACTTACTTACTTACTCATTTAATTACCCTGTTTGATATTCTAAAACACTAAGACATATTATTCGAGAAAAGCTCCTAAAACATAAACATTGGAAAAAGTATAAGAATCCACGTGATTATGACAAATTTTGCATACTACGCATTAGACAAAAGAAATTACAGAAGCGATGACATGAGCTCATTATTAAACTCTTAACTCTACTTATCTGTAAAAGTTTTCCTTATAACTTCATTATATACTAGCTGTGCCTCGCGACTTCGCCCGCGTGGAATATTTTTGCGCGGAACCCTAAAATAAAAGTATCCTAAGTTACTTCTTATAACATCAGCTATCTACCGGTGACAGTCCCATCCAAATCGGTTCACAGGTTTTTGCGTGATTCGTGTTCACGCCAAAATATCACAGATGACTGATTTTTTTCAGACTTACTTAACATTTTAACGCATGACTCTAATGAAAAAAGATGTTGTTCCACACCCCCAGTATTTTTAAAAGATCCTGTCTAACAATACCCTATATGATGGACTAGACGGGTAAATTAAAATCATCCTCCATTTGCTTGTATCGTGCTCGAAAAAGATATGAAATGCAGAAATTTTGTCACTTGTGTTATCAAGAGCAGTTGTTGTTTTCCTGGACAGTTTTGTTTAATTTTTGTGTTAATTTTGAACACTATGGCTGGTTCTCGACGTTATATGAACATGGAAACCGCAGCTAGAGTAGTTGCTTTGCTTGAATAAGGAGTCTCAGAGATCTGTAGCAATACGTGTCGGTGTATCGCAAAGAGCTATATAGGCAACTGGGAATGTGGCCAGGAAACCTGGAACAACTGCTCATGAAAACCGCTTTATCAGGTTATCTGCACGTCGGGAGCGTACCGTAACCGCCTGGGGCTTACAAACCCGACTGCGGCAATCTACTGGTAGATATGTCAGTGGTCAAACCATTCGTAATTGACTCCACGAAGATGGCCAACCTTCCAAAGTACGTGCTGTTCGACTCAAACTGACAAGGGCTTATCGTGTAGTTCGTTTAAGGTACGCTTGTCAACATTTGGACTGGACCAGGGATGACTGGGACACGGTACTCTTCACAGATGAATGTAAGGTCAAGTTTTACAGTGATGACAAATGGATACGCGTATAGAGAAAAGAAGGCGAACGATTTACAGAACCCTGCATCCATGGAACAGAGCATTTCGGGGGTCCAAGTGTTATGTTGTGAGGTAGAATAAGCTTAGTAGGCAAAACAGAGCTGATAATTCTGGATGAAAGTTCTGTAACAGCTACCAACTACGTTGAGTGGGTAATCCGACTTCATGTCATTCCATTTTCACAAAGAGTAGGTGCTGGTTTTGTGTTAACGCAAGATAATACTCGCCCACATTGGGATCAACTGAGAAAAAACCTCAAAGAGAACTATAGTCAGGTGAATAGTCAACAGGAACTCATGAACGCGCTAAAAGTCTGTTGGGAACGAATACCGAAAGAAAATGTTACCCATCTCATTGAAGGAGTAGAGGTAGCCCCATTCGCTACTAAGCGTTACATTGCTCAAACAATAATCACAAAAGATAGTGATAGGTTAAGTTTTTGTTATTCGTTATTTTGCTGCAATTTCCCTTAAAAGTGTGTTTTCTGTGTGGTTTTAAACAAGTAAATAACATTTAATATTGAATTTGTTTAAACAATTTCTTAATCCCTAGCCAAAACACATCTGTCCATAAAAAAAGATAAACATAACAACTTTTTGATGACACCCTCAAAACGTGGTGGGCCTTATTTTGTTTTGAGTTGTTTATTTCGAACGATCCTACGCTCTTTGCAGAAACGTAACGTAGCGTTTGCCCGAAAACGTAATATAAGTTGATTTTATCATATTTTAATTTTATAAATAACAGGTATTTCACATACCCGTGTCCGATGGGTTCCCTGGAGGAGATGGAGGCGCTCATCTACTCGGACGAGGGCCGGTTCGTGATGGCGCACAACGGCTGGGTGATGGACGCCGACCCGCTGCAGGATTTCGCGGCACGCGCTGCCGGCGGCCGCGTGTACTTGCGCCGCGAGCTCATCGCCTGGGGCGACAGCGTCAAGCTCAGGTCAGTTTTAGCTCGCTGCTCGAACCGATGTGAAACCAGTACAATTCAGTTTCTTGTGCTTATAACATTTTAAAATCAACGTCACTCTAAAAAGTAAGGATATGTGAGTATATTTTTCATTAGAACTAGTAGATGTGGTAGAGTTGTGTTTTTTTCAAATTATATGGTGAACTATAAAGTTTTTATTATAAAATATGGATGGCAAATGAAAACAAGTAAATGCATGATGAGGCTCATAGATATCTACATCCTTCCTCAATTACGAACGAAAATATAAATGCGTCACCCCTGATGAATAGGATGGAACGCCTCGTACCCATTAATAAATCTTCGGTTCTCTACACCCACCATACGAATGTTTCATACGTGGTAGAGCCACATTGAAGCTTTATTATGGTTGTAGCATGAATGGGTCGGCTCGACCGGGGGAGGAACACGATTTCACAAGATGCCAGCGTAAAATAGTTTGTATTAATGCTGCTATGTTTCGTATGGCATGAATGTAGAGAACCGAGGAATTTTTACTGGAATCGAGGTATTCCATCTTAGCCATAAGAATAGATGTAGAAATCGATGAGCCAAATCACACCTAGAGCCTACACCAGGCTTGATTGTCACCCTTATTTTACAAAAAAAATTGCATTACGAGCTGACAGAGCATTTCAGAAATTTTTAGTAATATGCCGTGCATCGTCTTTATTTTCAGTCCGTAAAACTCTACTGATCATTGTAAGAAAAATTTCCCCTCATCGTCACGTGTTCATCATCATCATCATTACAGCTCTTCATAAGTCTACCACTGAACATAGGCCTCCCCTAAGGAATGCCACAAAGCACGGTCATCGCATAGGTCGTCACTCCATATAGTGGGAGGTCGCCCTACACTTCACCTACCGGTACGAGGATGCCACTCGAGAATCTTTCTTCCCCATCGGTTGTCGGTTCTTCGAGCTATATGGCCGGCCCATTGCCACTTCAGCTTACTAATCCGGTGGGCTATGTCGGTTACTCTGGTTCTACTGCGGATATCCTCATTTCTAAGTTTATCACGCAGTGAAACTCCGAGCACAGCCCTCTCTATAGCCCGCTGAGCAACCTTGAGCGTCCCTATACGGCCAGCAGTGAAGGTCCACGTCTCAGATCCATAAGTCATCACTGGCAACACGCAGTCACAAGTGTACAATGTCGTTTTCAGGTTTTGAGGTATGCCTGACGAGAAGATGTATCGTAGTTTCCCGAACGCTGCCCAGCCGAGTTGAATCCGTCGATTGACCTCTCGGTCGAAGTTCGTCAACAACTTCGAGCTTAGTGCTCCCAACAACTACCGGCATAGGTGTGATATGGACGTTAAACATGATTTTTGTTTTGTCCATGTTCATCTTAAAACCTATCCGTTGGGAGACACTATTGAGGTCATTGAGCATAGTGCTTAGGTCCTCCAGCGCTTCTGCCATAAGGACTATATCGTCGTCAAATCGAAGGTGAGTGATGTACTCACCATTGATATTGACACTGGATCCTTTCCAGTCCAGTAGCTTGAAAAACGTCTTCCAATGCAGCGGTGTAGAGTTTCGGGGATATAACGTCACCCTGTCGCTGTGACACTGAAAGGACTATAGCACCGCCCAAATTTCGACGGAATCAAAGGCTTTCTCATAGTCCACATACGCAAGGCAATGTGGCAGATTGTACTCTTCTGTCTTCTGTATAATTTGCCAAAGGGTGTATAAGTGGTCCATGGTACTAATGCCTTTTCGGAAACCGGCTTGTTCGGGAGGCTGGAAGTCGTCAAGTCTGCATGCGAGACGATTCGTAATTACTCTCGAAAACAGCACGTAGACGCGGCGCGGCAGGAAAATCGGTCTGCAGTTCTCAAGAGAGCGTTGTCACTTTTCTTGAAGAATTAGACCACCGCACTTCTGATCCACGCCTCCGGAGTATTGCTACCATGGAGGTCGGAATTAAAGAGCTTCTGAAGGACTTCAAGTACCGGTTTTCCACCCGCTTTCAGAAACTCTGCTGTAATTCCATCCACACCTGGGGCCTTGCCATTTTTAAGATGCTGAAGAGCCATTCTAATCTCGCTCAGACTGATGTCAGGGATATCTTTGCAATATTCTCGGATAAGACCTCGCTCTTCGATCGTTACTCGCACTTGCGTGTGGCTCCAACGATGACGCGTACAGCTGCCCATAGAACCTCTCTGTTTCACTCAAAATCTCAGGTGTCCCGGAAACGAAGCTGTAATATTCGGTCTTCAGCTTTGACAGTTGGTCTTTCTGGCAGACAGATCTCTGGCAAAGACGCTTGGTTACGCTCGATTGCTTCTTTAATACGAGCTGAATTGAAGTTGCGTAAGTCCCGCTGCATGCATTTGGAGATCTGTCTGTTCAGTTGCCTGTATGCTGTCAAATCTGTTGAAGACTGCAGCTTCATTTCCCGTCTAACAACCAAGAGATTAAGAGTGAGATTGGAGAGTTTTTGTGTTCTTCTGGGGCTGGTCTTGCAGAACTTAGCTCCGACCGCATTGACAGTTTCCACGAGCTTATCATTCATATCGTCCACTTTATTGCAGTCTTCTAGGCACTGAAAATAGATTTGTAACTCGAGCTGAAAGGTTTTAGGACTCTGGACTAGAGCAAGAGGGGGACGGAGCGTTGACTTCATTAGACGAGACCTCTCCAACTTAATGTTTAGGTTCAGTGTGCTTCTAACCATTCGGTGATCGCTGTTAGTTTTCATCCTCGCGATAACGAGACATTACTGAACAATTGTCGTCTGGCCATCATAATGAAGTCAATCTCATTTTTTGTCAAACCGTCGGGGCTCGACGGACTTCCTGTGGGGCCACTTCTGGAAGAAAGAGTTCATCATAAAGAATCCCTCTTTTTCCATGAAGTCGGTTAGCTGCTGGCCCTTTGGGTTCCATTGCCCTATTCCAAATTTCCCTACCTTCGGCTCACTGTTTTCTCTTGTGCCTAGTTTTGCATTGAAGTCTCCCATTAACACAGTATAGTGGTTTTTGGAGGAATGCATGGCTCTAAATATATCCTCATACATTCCTCCTTATCGGGATGTGCCGAGGTTGGTGCGTAAACCTGTACGATCTTCAACGAATACCGTTTGGTGATTCTGAGTATAATAAGGTACGCAACCCTCGTCGACACACTGACAATCTTTACAACGTTGTTAACGAGAGACTTGTGGGCGATAAATCCGACACCTCCTTGGGACAGATGGTCGCCCTACCGGTGATAGAACAAGTTGCCGGATTCGTGGATTACCGTGTCCTCCCTCTCTCTTCGGACTTCGGATAATCCTATAATATGCCAGCGTAACTTGTCTATCTCTTCTTACAGCTCTACGATCTTCTCGTCGGTCCTCAGGGTGAGTGCGTTGCATGTTGCCAGGTCGAGTCGTCTTAGGTGGCAACCGAACCTCCACCGGAGACTCTTAGCACCCCTACCACGCCGTTACCATGATCGCCACCGTAGCTAGGAATAGCAGGGCCGACGGGGACTGGGGGCCGTCCTTTCGTAACTTTCTTCATGTGGGGATATTTGCCGTAGTTGCCACGCTTGGCGAGCGGGTTGGCAACCCCAATTTTTTATTGTAATGTTTCTGTTATCAGGAAGATGCTGCTGCTCATCTCCTGCCAATTTCCTATTGTTACCTCTTACGACACCCACGGGAAAATATGGGATAGTGGATATTCTTAACCGCTTCTACACGGCAACGATCACGTCTTACGATCGTGTAATTTAAGAAATGTTGTTCTTACTATGACTTTAATTATTCTGCTACAAATTCTAAGCTTAACACTAAGGGCTTCTGACCGGCGCCGAGTAAAAACCGCCCGAGCTTGCACACAAGACGGTTTGTAAACGGCGCCTCCATGAAACCGTGGCGAGCACCGTGCCCGGCTGCGCGTTAAGCCGCTGCTAGCGGCGGCGTCGTGTGATTGGCTTCATAGTGTCCATATCAACCATAAAAACCGTCTCGTGGGCATGAGGCCAAATATACATAGGGCGGCGCCTGTGCCATTGTACGTGTGGTGGCGCCTGTGTGGCTAGCCAGAATTCTTGTAAACAACACGTGCGCCGCATACCTGCGTCATTTCACCTGCTGTGGCGCCTGTGTGGGTAGTTACTTGTTTTACTTGTAAAAACAGATGGAGCAACCGCCGTGAAGGGAGCCTTGGCTCTGGCGTGGCACAATGCACTTGTGGTATTCCACTACTAGCTCATCCTTGACACATTGAATAATTAATTCTTGCAAACGAATTAATTATTATTCTCGTACAGTGCATATATCATTTAAAGGTGTTCCGTACAATTCTCAACTACAAAATTAGTCTCAGTACAATTTATAGTTGATTAGCTATGTTCTTATCAATGTAATCTGTGTATTTCATAATTGTATAAAGTTATTTATTGTAAATTAATCTTATTTAAAAGAAAGGTGCCGCTGGGTTTCTTGTTGGTTCTCCTTCTAATAAATAAAAATTATTCTATTCTGTTCTAAAACCTTTTCCTGTAACTCTACATTATAATATCATCCTACACATAATACACTATTTACGCCTGTTGCTAGAGAGATCGTCCTATTTTAAGATATAGGATATTTTTGACATATCGCACAGTCGCATCTTGCAACACTCACAGGGAGAAATAGATAATGCATTCATAAAAAAAGTTAAAGTAAAGTTACTCTGAAAACTAAGGATAAAATTATATGCACATTTTTAATATCCTACAGATACGGTGAAAAGCCGGAGGACAGTCCGTTCCTGTGGGCGCACATGCGCGAGTACGTGGAGCTGACGGCCGAAGTGTTCGACGGCCTGCGCCTCGACAACTGCCACTCGACCCCGCTTCATGTACGTATGCAATGTTTCCAAATTCACGTTTCCCACACTTTTTTTTCTTTCGGTATAACAACAAAGAAAGGTCAATGGGAAAAAAACCGACGGACGATGCGGGTGGTATCGAGGAACACCGCCTTCTGCATTTCAGCCTCAGCCAGTCCATTACGGAGTCCTAGCCACCTCAGATGACCCGTGAAGCTGACCGAGATTAGCCCGTTCGCAGAATAATTTCTGTCAGCAGACCATCTCACATTTCAGTCACCTCGTGAGCTATATTTAGTTCACTTATCTGTTTTGACTTTCACGAGGTTCTCGTAATACAAAATGGTGATGTCAATCAAATATATCCGTGACTATGCCCAGTCCATCAGCACAATATCAGGCTTATCCGCAAGAATAGTCCTGTCTGTGATGGCCCGGTCCAGTAGAGTCTGGCGCAATCATTTTCGAGCACGGCTTCCGGCAAATACTTATATTAAGGCAGTTTCCGATCCACGACACCGTATTTCAGGGCGAGCTCCTGGTGTATTTTATATGATATTATTCTCTCCTTGGGGGAGGCCTATGTTCAGCAGTGGACTTGTGAAGGGCTGTAATGATGATGATGATTCTCTCCTACTCTATTATTATATTATTATAACATATGTTTTCAGGTAGCTGAGTATATGCTGGACTGTGCCAGGAATGTGAAGCCCGACTTGTATGTAGTGGCCGAGTTGTTTACGAACTCGGACCATGTGGATAATATATTTGTGAATCGACTCGGTATTACTTCACTTATCCGAGGTAAATTTTGTTTTAGTTACTATATTTTTAAAATTTCTTTTTATAGTAATAAAATATCAAAAGAAAAGGGATAAGTAAAAGTAGAAGAAGAGCCAGTAATTTTTTAGTATGTTGATATAGGAATAGCGGAAAGATATATATACAGTCTACAGTCTATTTTGCAGCACTTAAAATGATAACTAATAATTTTATAGGTGTCAGAGGATCGAACTCTAATTACTAGCACGCACGTGGCAAAAAGATGTGTCGTAACCTTTCAAACGCTGCCTAACCGAGTTGAATCCGTCGACTGACCTGGCATTTTTCCGTGGTAAACATACATAGTGCTGAAGTGTTTGTACAGTAGGGCTATGATGGCTATCCGAGTACAGAACCAGAGTACGAAACCTATCCAACTGCAGAGAGGTGTAAGACAGGGTGATGTAATATCCCCGAAACTCTTCACCGCTGCATTGGAAGACGTTTTCAAGCTACTGGACTGGAAAGGATACAGTGTCAATATCAATGGTGAGTACATCACTCACCTTCGATTTGACGACGATATAGTCCTTATGGCAGAATCGCTGGAGGACCTAAGCACTATGCTCAATGACCTCAATAGTGTCTCCCAACGTATAGGTCTTAAGATGAACATGGACAAAACAAAAATCATGTTTAACGTCCATGTCACACCTATGGCGGTAGTTGTTGGGAGCACTAAGCTCGAAGTTGTTGACGAGTATGTTTACCTGGGACAAATAGTCCGACTAGGTAAGTCCAACTTCAACCGAGAGGTCAATCGACGGATTCAACTCGGCTGGGCAGCGTTCGGAAGATTACGACATATTTTCTCGTTAGACATACCTCAGAACCTCAAAACTAGATTGATGAACTAGTGCGTGTTGTCAGTGATTAGCTACGGATCTGAGACGTGGTTCTTCACTGCTGGCCGTATGAGGAAGCTCCAAAGTCACTCAGAGAGCTATGGAAAGGGCAATGCTCGGCGTTATTCTGCGTGATAGACTTAAAAACGAGGATACCCGCAGTAGAACTAGAGTAGCCCAAAGAATTAGTATGATGAAGTGGCAATGGGCCGGCCATATAGCTCGAAGTACCGACAACCGATGGGAAAGAAAGGTTCTCGAGTGGCAGCCTCGTACCGGTAGGCGAAGGCATGGCTCAGGACCGTACTTTGTGGCATTCCTTGGGGGAGGCCTATGTTCAGCAGTGGACTTGTGAAGGGCTGTAATAATGATGTAATGATGAAACATACTCGTCGACAACTTCGAGGCACTGAAAACAATTTTGTAATTCGACATGAATTGGGGTTTTGAATTAGACTATGAAGGAGACGGAGCGTTGATTTCATTAGACGTGACCTCTCCAACTATACATTAAGTTTCAAGTGGTTTATTTGGTGATCGTTAGTAGTTTTTACCCTCTGAGACATCACTGAACAGCTGCCGTCTGGTCGTTATTATGAAGTCAGTTTCATCTTTCCTCAAATTGTCGGGGCTTGACCAGGTCCACCTTTAATGGAGCCGCTTCTGACTGAAAAAGTTCGTCATAAAGAGTTCCTTCTTCTCTATAAAGTCCGCTAGCTGTTTGCTGTTGCTGATATTCAAAATTTCCCTAACTTCAGATCACAGTTCTCTCTTGTAGCTAGCTAGTTTTGTGTTGAAGTCCCCATTAACACAGCCTCATATTTCCTCGACGATTACCGTTTGGTGATTCTGCGTCTAAGGTATCCAACTCTTGTTGATGCATTTTCAATTTTTACAATATTGTTACGAGAGACTTGTGGACGATAAACCCGACACTTCCTTGGGACAGCTGAGTTTTCTCCCGTTGATAGAACAAGCTTTGGACTTCAGATAATCATATAACGTCCCAGCGCAACTTCTCTATCTCTTCTTGCAGCTTTAGGATTTTCTCGTCTGTCCGTCAGTGGTTTAAGCTAGTAGGTAACTGGACCTCCTCTGAGATTTTTAGCAGCCACTGCTCCGTCGTTACCATGGTCGCTACCGTAATCAGGAAAAGATCGACGGGGATGCCGGGTAGTTTCATTATACCTTATGACAAAAATTGTGCTGAAACTTCATGAGGGGTATATTGCTATAGATGTCAAGCTTGGCTAACGAGTTGGCAAGCGTAGTTTTTTTAGATTATCAGAAAGATCCTGATGTCCATTTCCTGGTTTATTTACTTCTGTTGCCTCTTACGACGACCACGGGATGATATGGGGTAGTAGATATTCTTAAGCTGAACGCACATTTATCAGCATCGTGCGTGCCATACGCGCCGTACGCGCCGTATTTTCGGATTCGTTGTATGAAATCACATTAAACCTCGCACATTCCACCCGTACCGTATACGCCGAACTTTATAAAATGCGTTAGGTATCCGAATATTAAAGAACGCATGTTGATGACGTCATATAACGTGGCGCATTCGGTATATGCTGATACTCAGTTTTGTCTAATGTTGCCAACTCAGTAGATTTTCGAATTTTGTTTCAAATTATATTTTATTTCATTTCAGGAGTATTTACTGTTATTAGTGACTTTTGTGATTACTGTCTTAATATTTCTGCATTCCTATGCCCTTCTTGTATGTTAAAAGCAAATATCTAATACAATCATTTAATAAGTCTTTCAATAAAGTTTAATATTCTCCATATAACTTAATATTTTTAAGCCTTTTTAAATTAATATTATGAATCCACAATCTTCTTTTTTTGAATTTTTTATTTTATTCTTCCTCTGCCAATAAACAGCCTATCACAATATTTTTTTCCATAGCGATCCGCGCGATTCCGAGTGATCAATGTCACTGTACTGTTTTACACCAGTGGCTGGAAAGAATTGCAAAAGTTGTTGGCAATATAAAAGATTTGTGTACGGCGAGGACGGTGCGTACGTGCAAATGCGATAGGTCATGAGTAAAATGCGGCGCGTACGGCGCGTATGGTGCTGATACATGTGTGTTCAGCTTTACTCCGCCACTACTCGTTCACAATGAATAAATATGAATAAAATATAATAAAAAAGCAGTGGTGCGTGTGTGTGATGTGTGATGCGTCGCGTGCAGAGGCGCAGAGCGCGTGGGACGCGCAGGAGCAGGGGCGGCTGGTGCACCGGTTCGGCGGCCGCGCCGTCGGCTCGCTGGCGCCGCGCCACCGCGCCGCCGCGCCGCGCGTCGCGCACGCCATGTTCCTCGACCTCACGCACGACAACCCGTCGCCGCTCGACAAGCGGTACGCCCACACCCGCGCCCGCGCCCGCGCCCGCGCCCGCGCCCGTCGCATTCATAAATAAATTCTCTACTAATTAAAAAGCACCCACACAATATCATTTTTTGAAGTAAAAACTTCTAAATAATCGTTGTGATTTGAAACTCGGTCCAGCCGTTTCGGAAATAAGCCAGAACAAACAGACAAACAGAGAGACAAATATTTTGTTAAATTGTTTTTTTATAACTTCAATATACAGGGTTATTTTGCGATAACCGGCCCAATTTGCAGAGAAGGTACAGAATAAATAATATAGGCAAATGGTAAAGAAAAATTTATTAAAATAATCTCAAATATTCTATTCTTATTATTCCTTAAATTCAAAATGCGTAGTAATGCATTATTTTCACTGATTTTACTGCGCACGCACACTTTCGTAAGAGTCGATCGGTAGGCAAAAACGTTGATGCTCATAAATCACATTCAATATGGGGTAAGTTCAAATAAAAGTAGGAGTCTTATTTACTCGTATTTTCAAAAACTATTATAACGATATATCAATATTTATATATTTGAACTTAAGTTTAAAATTTGACTACTCTTTGAAAAATAACCCTGTATAATTTTATATACATTTATATAAAAGCTGTTATTTTGACATTACAAACAGGCACTTCAATTTTATTAATTGCAGGCTTTAAGCGCAAAGTGCGCAGGTATGTTCTACTAGGGCCTAAAAATTAAGATTCCAACGTTTTGTCGCATGAAATCGTATCTAGCAATCATATTATACATATAAATGATGTAAAAAGCACATTGTCAGAAAGATAAATGTGTGTTGAACTTATTAATATTTTTTTAAATCTATTAATTGCTATTTTTACATAAAAAAGGGATTTTAGTGACTTATAGTGTGGATTTATCAAGTCTGCATGGTGGCGTAAACACGATAATTGTTGAAAATATCAATTGTTCAGCTCAATCTATTTTTAAAACTCTTCATCTATCATGTGGAAAGCTATTGAATGTAAATGGCAGTTTAGTTTTGTTTTCTTTAGTTATAATTAATTTTTTTCGGCTGTGAAATGTCGAAATTTTCGGTGTTTTAGCAGACTTGTATGAATTTATTTTACTAAATAGACTACCTCACTCACTTAGGTTGGCGTCAACCGCCGTCGTGAGTGGATACTGTATCGGTTGTTTGCAGCGGCTCAAAAAAATCGCTGTACAAATACAAAATATTCGAAAAACCATGATCATATGAGCATTATGAGTCGTGCACTTTTGGATTTTCCAATCTTTTCTTAAAATTGAAGTTTGACGTAAAATTATCGGAAAATTGGAAGTATAATATGGTTATTAGTGAAAACTTGTGTGTATTTAAAGTACTATAAAAAAATCCGTATAATCATGTTATACGTAATTTTTTTAATGCGCTTAGTGCATGCAAAATTGGATTTACCAATAGTTTATTTTCTGCCGACTTCCAAAAAGGAGACGGTACTCAATTCGACTGTATGTTTTTTTATGTGTGTTACCTCATAACTTTTTACTGGGTGAACTGATTTCGATGATTCTTTTTTATTTGAAAGCTGGTACTTCTCTTGTGGTCCCATATGAATTTGATCAAGGTCAGACAAAAGTTTTGAGTTATTCTTAATAACTTATATTGGAGTCGGCTGTACAAAAACTTTAATTTTAAATGATTGTATATTATATTATATAAAATATACCGTTACCGTTACAGACTCATCAAAAATCCACTACTGCACATAGGTCTCCAATAATATTTGCTATGGTTGCCACGCTAGGCAGACGGGTTGACAACCGTAGATTTTTTATGTATTTTGATTGGTATTAGAGAGACGCTGCCATTCATCTCCTGATTTATTTCCCTCTGTCGCCTCTTATGATAACCACGGGACGGTATGGGATAGCGGATATTCTTACACCGCCACTACATGGTAATAATATAAAGTATCCTTAAACTTAATCAAGCCAAGCTTTGATGTCGCGAATCATATATCTAAAAAGATGTTTCGCTACGTGCAGGTGCGTGTTCGACATGCTGCCGACGGCGGCGCTGGTGGCCATGGCGTGCTGCGCCACCGGCAGCACGCGCGGCTACGACGAGCTGGTGCCGCACCACGTGAGTGCCACCAGCCCTGTGCTCGCACTTTTATTTTAAATAGAATATTGCTCAAATACTCAAACGCTACTCAATTTTAAGATGCCGTTAAGTTTCGTGCTGTCTCTATCACTTTAAGTCAAACTCACTGTGACACCACGAGACTTAACGACATCTTAAAATTGAGTACTTAGCGTTTGAGTATTTGACCATAAGAGTGACTAACGAGTACACAGTTCATCTGATGGATGTTGTGACCTATAGGTAGCTACATTTATTCTATACTGAGAATCAAAGTGCAGATGCGCTGAGAACCATGAGGACTAAGATGAAATCGTTTCCAGTAAAAAGGGTTTCCGGTTCTCTACATACACCATACGAAATACAGTAGCATTTAGCTGCTATTTTAAGCTAGTGTTTGGTGAGACCGTGATCCCTATAGGCTGAGCTACAACCATAATATAAGTACTGCAATGTGGTTCTACCACGTAAACATTTCGTTTTTGTTTGTTGCAATTTGGATTTAATTTAAAAAAAAGTGGATCTGACTTTGTATGCGCAAGTATGGTAATTTAATTATATATTTCTTGACGGGCGCTGGACACAGATCCACGTGGTGGAGGAGTCGCGGCTGTACTGTGAGTGGGGTGAAGATGGGGTGGGTGAGGGTGCAGGGGTGGGGGCGGCGGAGGGGCGAGTGGGGGGCGGCAGCGGACTGCTGGCGGCGCGCCGCGCGCTCAACGAGCTGCACTACCAGCTCGCCGTCGATGGTTACAGCGAGGCTAGTGCTTTTATATGTATTTTGTACATTCTTACAGTATATCGAAATATTTTAATAATAATAAAGACCTGAATAAATGCGTCATAAGAATCGTTCCCAAGCAGTCAAATAATCGGCAATTTTATACTTAAACTTCCAAATTCAATAGCAAAATATCCCGACCGATGCATATCTTCATAGATGTTCGCCACTTTAAAATTGATGGTCATTATGGTGTAACAAATATTCAGCACCAAGCGAGTGGCAATTTAACTTAATACCGCTAGCGTTAAGATAAACTTTTTTTTTTATAGGATAAGGGTGACAAGCGAGCACACAGTCCACCTGATGGTAAGTGGTTGCTGCGGCCCATAGACATCTACATCTATCCTCTGTTACAAATCAAAGTGTGGATGCGTTGTCACTGAGGACTAAGATGGAATGCCTCATTTCCAGTAAAAAGGGCCTCCGGCCACCTGCACTCACTAAGCGAAACGCAGAGGTAAACCTCTACTTCACGCTGGTTTTCTGTGAGGTCGTGGTACTACCCCGGTTCGAGCCGGCCCATCCGTGCGACAGCAAAAGCTGCCGCGTGGCTTTACCACTGTTAACCTGTTAACCTGTAGAAAGTTGCCGCAAACATCATAAACAATTATGTAGAACTTGTGAAACAACAATAATATCATAATATTAATGAGTCCGATTGCGTTAGTCTTGTTCCTTTTAATATCGAAGATATTTGCTGATATCGTCACTTTATGTTAGTGTCGGTCAAAAGCCAGAGACCTAGCTTCAATAGTTGTTTACGAGAAATATCAAATTCAGTCCCGTAAATTACAACGACTTGTATCCTCTTCATCACGTAAGCGCAATAACAACATACATACTGAATATCATCAGTTTTATCCCCGAGTTAAAAATCTTTCCGATGTTCAATTTCCAACGGATGAGTTGTCACTTTTACAAAAAGGCCTAAAGTATAGTCTAACACCTTCGATCTCTCAAAAGTCGCTAGAGACTGTGGCCGTGGACGGGGAGATGGCCGTTGTGATCGGGAAGAAAGATAACATTGTTAAAAGTTTGGTAGCGAAAGAAATTCAGGCTGTACCCGCTTACCATTGCAATCCGGAGTTCCCTGTTTTTAAGTCACTAAAGCAGAAAATAAGGGACAATGATCTTATTGTTACTAAAGTCGACAAGAGCAATACTGTTGATAATAGCGGGTATAGCCAGAAGGTTAACGATGTTATCCAAGGTGATGACTTTGAGCTTTTGGAGTCTGACCCCACCAAAAAGTTTGCTTCGGATATTAAAGTATGTATACAACAGTCATTATATATTTTTCCCGACCACAACGTGTCTCGCAGCAGTCTTGTTCCAATGAATCCTCAAGCACCCATTTTATATGGGTTACCTAAAATACATAAAGAACAAGTTCCTATTCGTCCAGTTGTATCATACATAGGTGCACCAGCTTATTTCCTTGCTAAAAAGTTAAACTTCCTTCTGCGGGAGAAATCTGGATTCAAACCAACTTACAGCCTCAAAAATAGTTTAGATCTCATTTCCGAGATTAAAGTATCCGTGTTTCACCTAAATCCATGTTGTTATCTTTAGACGTTGATAGTCTTTTCACAAATGTCCCATCCCCTGACTGTTTGCGTATACTCGAAGATCTCTTTAATAAACGTCGTCTACATCCCGGGGAAACAAATGATCTTCTAAAGTTAACCTCTCTCTGTATGAAACAAAACTATTTCCAGTTTAATAACCACTTCTATCTACAAAAAGAAGGGCTAGCCATGGGTTCCCCTCTAAGTTTTCATTTTTATGGATAATTTTGAAAAACAACACATAGTTGTCCATCAAAATATCTTATACTGTTATCGATATGTAGACAACATAATTATTTGCTGGACTGGCACAAAGAGGCAACTGGATGTTTTCATTAATAAAGTTAATAAAATCCACGACAAAATTAAATTTAAGCTTGAATTGGAACAAGATTGTGTCCTCAATTTCCTTGATTTAATTTAACAATAACAAGGAAAGAGTCGTTACATGAATTTCAAATTTATCGAAAGCCAACTCATACCGATACGGTCATTCCTGCGTCATCATGTCATCCGTGGCAACATAAATTAGCCGCTTTTTATTGTTATATTAATCGTTTGTTTCGTGTGCCATTAAGTAAAGAAAATTATTTAAAAGAGCTTAATGTGATTTACCAAATTGCGGTCTCTAACGATTATTCAAAGAATATCATTGACAATGTAATAAAAAAGAAACAAAAACTTGTCGTACGCAATTCTCTGTACGTGGTTAAACCTCAAAGTGATCGTCGATATGTTGGCAGTTTGACGTACTTAGGTTCCATATCTGAAAAAATAGCTAATACTCTTCGACAGAGTGGCGTGTACGTGGCATTCAAAACAAACAATTCACTTAGTTAGATCTTCGTCTAAAGTCTGGTGTTTATATACTTGTTTGTGACGAATGCCCAGCCGTTTACGTGGGTTAGACTAGTCGCAACTTCGAAACACGTTATAAAGAGCGTTTAGCCGCGTACAGGAATTGTAACCCCAATAAATCACATTTTGCTAAACATTTTTTAGACACTGGACACAGCCTATCCAATGACCACTCCTTTAAAGTCTTACATACTTGTAATAAAGGGCTACGACTGTGTGTGCTGGAACAGTTAGAGATATTAAAATATAATAACGGTAATGTTGCACTGCTGAATGAACAAACAAATGTTTCCAACTCGCTTCTCTTAAACAAGTTTAAGCGTGCTACTTGATGATATATAGCCTCGCAACATGGTCGTTTGTCACCCTCACGGTGCGGTGGTCAGCGTTTGGTTGCGTGGTTGTAAGGTAGGCGGACGTTTCGCAGTAGTTTGTTGTTAATTTCACAGCAAATATCGGCGTACGTCAGGCGGTGACTGATCGCATGACGTAATCGCTTGCTACGTAATTGGAGTGCGGTTGCGTCAGCAAGTAGTATAAATAGCAGTAGTTTCGGCTCGCCGCTCACTTAGCGGCCAGCCTCCGCAGAGTCTACTTCAGCTGAGGATGCCTCGTATAGAGGAGAAACACTTGTCGTATTTTCGAGAGTGGTGTGTCGTGCCTAGTGTGGTGGTGCTGGGGGTGGTAGTGTTGGGATTAACGACGACGTATATTGCGCGGGATTGAGGGAGGGTGGGAGGTCCCCTTAAAACTGGGCAGGACACATCATTTTCTTTTTTTACGCGGAATTAAGCAAATTAGTTTATAACAACCCCATTTTAATGGATTTCCGCAAAGTAACGCCTGATTCTATCAATTATCTTAAAAATGACGATTTTCGAATTCCGCCGATTTACCATGAAAAATCTAGGAAAGATAAGAAAGTTAAAAAAATATAGGAAAATGATATATTGCTTATTAACCATACTATTATTATATGCAGGTGTATGTCGATCAGATGGATGCGGATGTCATAGCTGTAACCAGACATGAACCTCGTTCTAGAAAGGTTAGTTAATAGTATAGTACTTTTTCAATATGGAATTTTTTTATTTAACAAAAATAAAATCCATATGTGCGTATTATGTGAAAGTGTAACTAAGTTTTATTAATTGAAATAAATATATAATAGTTGGTATATAATACAAAGCGTAAATAGTTTAGCACTTTAGTATTAAAAAGTGAGACATAGTATACAAGCTGTCCCAGAAATTGACGTCATGCAACATCCCTTCGGAGCGTCAGTGAATCGAGCCGATTAGAAAGAACTCGGTCGTCGACGATTCGAGCCGCTCTGCGCTAGATGCGGTCAAGTAGAGATGAGAATAGTATTCCAATTTCCAAGTTAGGCCTTTTCTTGAAGGTCCCTAAGTCGTATCGGTCCGGAAAAATCGCTGATGGTAATCGATTCCACAAGGAAGTTGTGCGAGGAAGAAAACTTCATCTAAATCGTACAGTGGTGAACCGCGGATCATCCAGGTGGTATGGATGGTATCGCGAGTTTTGTCGCAATGTGCGATGGTGAAATTGAGCGCCTGGGATTCGTCCGAACAATTCCTCAGAGCACTCCCCGTGGTAGATGCGATAAAATACGCAAAGAGATGCAACATCTCTACGCAGTGCCAGTGAGTTAAGCCGATCGGAAAGAACTCGGTCATCGATGATTCGAACCGCTCTGCGCTGGATGCGGTCAAGTGGAAGGAGCTGGCACTGGGGTGCCCCGGCCCAGAGATGGGAACAGTATTCCATGTGAGGCCGAAACTGCGCCTAGTAAAGTTGCAAGTGGTGTGCCGGCGTGAAATACTGTCCTGCTCTGCTGAGCACGACAAGCTTTTTAGAGGCCAATTTGGCCTTCTTCTTCTACATGTCATACCTATGCCGGTATTTGTTGGGAGCACTAAGCTCGAAGTTGTTGACGAGTATGTTTACCTGGGACAAATAATCCGACTAAGTAAGTCCAATTTCGACTGAGAGGTCAATCGACGGATTCAACTCGGCTGGGCAGCGTTCGGTAAACTACAACACATCTTCTCGTTAGACATACCTCAAAACCTGAAAACGAAATTGTACAACAAGTGCGTGTTGCCAGTGATGACTTACGGATCAGAGTCGTGGTCCTCCACTGTTTGCCGGATGAGGAAGCTCAAGGTCGCCCAGCGAGCTATGGAGAGGGCTATGCTCGGGGTGTCTCTGCGTGATAAACTTAGAAATGAGGATATCCGCAGTAGAACCAGAGTGACCGACATAGCCCAACGGATTAGTAAGCTGAAGTGGCAGTGGGCTGGCCATATAGCTCGAAAAACCGACAAGCGATGGGGAAAAAAGGTTCTCGAATGGCAGCCTCGTACCGGTAGTCGAAGTGTAGGGTGACCCCCCACGAGATGGAGTGACGACCTGGTGAGACATGCAGGAAGTCGATGGATGCAGGTGGCTCAGGACCGTGCTTTGTGGCATTCCTTGGGGGAGGCTTGTATTAAATAATTTAGTCACCTTTTTTATAAATTACAATAACAATCATCTTTGTAAAATTATATTGCTATCACAAACAATAGATTTTTACGATATTTTAATTAATTAATTTATTTATTTAACAGTTTATGTACACACATAATTTAATAAGAAAATGGTAAAAACATAATTATGTACAAAGGCACTGCTTATTCCATGATGAAATTTCTTCCAGCAGGCCTATTGAAGGATAGTTGAAGGAAATAGAGGTAGTCAAAGTGTGCACTTGCATAAATATACATATACTATACAAATATATACAAACTTATATATATATATATATATATATATATATATATATATATATATATACGTATATACATATATCATGAAGCAAATACAAAGGGGAGACGTTGTAATTAAATTTCACTATGTAACAACGCGTGACAATTTGCGGGGTGAGAGGATGCAAAGCCCCGCCCACTACACTATCTATATCTACCGATAAATAGTAAAACTACTCGAATCTTTCCATATCGATGTTGCAATGTAGCTTAGCTACCTTGACGGTAGATGGCGGTATGTCCACAAAATGTTATAAACTTTAAAAATAACACTTTGGCGATTAAAATTTCTTTATGTCTGAATGCAAACAAATTTCAGCACCTTCGTATGATTATTTTATCATTACTGAGCTCTACGTACCTTTATTTTTTTAGTTCACAGGACACAAAGTGTCGCCATCTAGTGTGGAATATATTTAATTATATTTGAAAGCCGACGCAAAGAGATTTTTCTAGAACTATTTTAATAAATTAGGTGTAAAATTACTTACAAATGAAATGTGATGCTATCCATAGCATCGGAGCGTCTATCTCATGAAGCAAATACATTCAGACAAAGAAATTTTAATCGCCAATATAATATTTTCGTAGTTTTCATAATAATCTTGGGAACAGGCCGCCATCTATCGTCAAGTAAACCTCATAAAAAATAACAAAAAGACAGGGCCGCCATTAGAATTCAATTATTTTAACCAGTAACCCAACATTCAATATTAAAATGAAGGAAATTGTACTTGGCTGATTTTTACGAAATGTTTAAGTTATATTTAAGTGACATTCTATATGCAAAGAATCACTTAAATACAATTTAAATATGTTTATCATTTCGTGAAAGTCAACCAAGAAATATTTATTTTATCTATAAAATAAAGTCTCTTCGAAACTAAATATTCTATGTTCAATATTAAGTAGGATATTTAATTTGGAACTAAATATCCCACTTATCTCACTAATATTATAAAGGCGAAATTTTGTGTGCTCTTTCTGTCTCCTTGAGCTTATTCCACACTAAGTATGTGTAATTTCTTCACGCAGAAACGGCTGGATTATTATTTATGTGTGGGTTATACTACTTAATATCTCTGAGGGAGAACAAATAATAGACAAATTATTATAATTAATATAATTTTATTTACAAATATTACAAAGAACATTAAATTGTATTTAAGTGATTATTTGCATATAGAATGGCACTTAAATATAACTTAAACATTTCGTAAAAATCAGCCTAAGTACAATTTCCTGCATTTAATATTAAAAGTTGGATTACTGGGAAAAATAATTGAATTCTAATTAGGGCCCTATCTTTTTGTCATTTTTATGAGGTTTACTTGACGAGAATACGGCCTGTTCTCAAAATGATTATAAACTATAAAAATGATATTTTGCGATTAAAATTTCTTTATGTCTGAATGCAAAACAAATTTCAGCACCTTCGTATGATTATTTTACCAATACTGAGCTCTACCTTTACATTTTTAGTTCACATGACACAAAGTGTCGCCATCTAGTGTCGAATATATTTAATTATATTTGAAAGCGTCGGCTTTCAAATATAATTAAATATATTCGACACTAGATGGCGACACTTTGTGTCATGTGAACTAAAAATGTAAAGGCAAAGAGATTTTTCTAGAACTATTTTAATAAATTAGGTGTAAAAATATTTACAAATGAAATGTGATGCCATCCATAACATCAGAGCGTCTATCTGAATAGTTTTTACACAATAAAACACAACACTTCAGCCTTTTCTTCTTAATACTACGAAAATACACCGATTTGCGATTTTTCCAACACATAAGCGCACAGGACGAATGCTGACAGTATACTAACTAAAGCCACGCACACTATGATGACGTCAGGACCTACTTAGTATCACAGTGCACAGTTGCATATGCCGACTCCCCTTTGTATTAGCTTCATGACATATATAAATAAATATTATAAGTATATTACAAAAAAATATATATAATTCCTTTTATTATTTTTTTGATTATGCCTTTTTTCCACAATATGATCTAGGGTTAAGAAACTTGAAAAACAATGCTATTTCTCTCGTATGAAATTATTTCAAGAAAAAATCAAATCATCGCCTAAATTATTTTGGAGTTACATAAAATCAAAAAGAAAGAACTGATCTAGTTTTCCCCATGTACATTCACACACACATACACACCCACACACACACACACACACACACACACACACACACACACACACACACACACACGCACGCACGCACGCAGACACGCGCGCGCACACGCACGCACGCACGCACTCACGCACCCACGCACGCACGCACGCACGCACGCACGCACGCACGCACGCATACAAACACCCACGCACGCACGCACGCACGAATGCACGCACGCACGCAAACACCCACGCACGCACGCAAACACTCACACACGCACGCACTCACACACACACGCACACACACGCATACACTCACACACTCACACACTCTCACACACACACACACACACACACACACAAACACACACACACACACACACACACACACACAAACACTCACGCCTGTCACCCAGAGGGGTAGGCAGAGACTACGGACTTCCATTTGGCGCGATCCTGACACACCTCTATCGCCTCCTTTACATCCATATATCTCGCATACACGCATACACGGTCGTCGGTTAAGGGTACTCCTAATCTGGCCCATTTTTAATGTATCACCGATTTGGTCGATAAATCTTCGTCTAGGGCGTCCCTTCCCGACCCTGCCGTTCACTTCTGCAACATAAATTTGCTTTGTCACTCTTTCCTCGTTCATTCTTTCTACATGACCAAACCACCGAAGCATTCTGTTACGGCCTACGGCTGCTCCTACAAAGGTCATTTCCTCTGGGGCCCATTCAGCAGAAGACTTCACGAGCAGACGCAGGTCGGGCCTCAATATGGCAGCGTGGAAATGTTCTATCACAGTAAACTATATGGGAAATGTTGTATCCTACTACAATTAATGGGGAGACTAATCAAATAGATATTACTTACCTGTATGTGAGACGACTGCTGTCTCAGGGCTCGGTCAGGCCGTAGGTGTGTATGTGTTGAGTATAGTGGTGGTTTGTGGTGTTAGTGGTGATAGACCTGCCGGGACCTTCGAAGTCGGCAGCAGCCCGGACTTCGGTGCCGCTCCAAATTGTGGTAATCTCCCGCGGCGTCACCCACCGTCACTTTCTTCCTTCTTCACTAG